AATAGAAAGAGGAGACAGAGGAGAAGGGGGGAGGAGGAAAAAAGAAGAAGAAAAGGAAAAGGAAAAGGAAAAGGAAAAGGAAAAGGAAAAGGAAAAGAAAAAGAGGAGAAGAGAAGGAAAGAGGCACAGGAGGAGAAAGAGAAGGAGAAAGAGGAGGCAGAGGGAAAGGGAAAAAGACGAAGGAGGAGGAGAAAGAGGAGGTGGAGGAGGACAAGGGGAAGAAGGATGAGAAAAAGAAAGACAAAAAGAAAGAGGAGGAGAAGAAGAAGAAGAAAGAAAAAGGAGAGGAGGGAGAGGAGCAATACACGGTATGCACACCTGACAAGATTAAGTTGAATTACCTAAGCAAAGTGAGAAAAAGAAGAGAGAGAAGAGACAATAAACAGATATTCTTATCATTACTATCTCTCTATGTTGCCATACATGGTATGTGCACTTGACAAGACTGAGTTGAATTACCCTTGCATGGGTCCCCTAAGGAGCTGGGAAAGAGAGAAAAGTGAGTAACATAGAGCATGTAACTGTACGTCACTGTTAATATTCTTGCACACAGAGAAAATAAAAGACACTTTCATAGTATCAACTTATTGTCATTTTTTATTTCATCACAAACAGATTTTTACATACAATAAATATATGAACACACTTAACAGTAGCAAGAAGACAGGCATGTACACACATATACATTAGAAGATGCACACACACAGTATAGCCCAGGCACACAAACATATGTATCTTTGGGAGGTTAAATTTAATATACTGTGCTTCATTATTGTTCATACAGAGTAATTAGTATCTTAATACATATTTTTATTAAAACCTAATTTCAAAAGCGTAAATACTTCTCAATAATATCATTTAACAGTTTGATTTCCAATTAAAAGTTCTGCACACTTACAATCAACACAATATCGCTTGTATCTACTATTCATAATTCAGGGAGGTCAACATCTTTGCACTGAAAGCAAGTGTTTTGTCCGACTAAAAGTGCAAGATACAGGGTTTTCGCACACAAAATGCATCTACAAAACAAGAATACCTACCCAATGAGAAAAAATTACATGTATAAAAAAATGTGAATAAATAAATACAATGCAAATCAACCTGAAAGAAAGAGTCAAAATTATTCCAGTTGTTACAACTGTTGCACATTTCTAATTTCTGATATAATTTGTACTTACTGAAACCTTTATTAAATCAGAGCCAACCATGCAATACTACAGGTACAAAAGAAAGGTTGGCAACTAAATCATGTGATTACTTAATATAATTTTGTATTGTTTCATGAAGAAAATGGAGGAGGAGATGAGGGGAGGAGATGAGGGAGGAGGAGAGAGGAGGAGATGAGGGAGGAGGAGGAGGAAGAGGAGGAGATGAGGGAGGAGGAGGAGGAAGAGAGGAGATGAGGGAGGAGGAGGAGAGAGAGGAGATGGGGAGGAGGAGGAGGAGGAGGAGGAGATGAGGAGGAGGAGGAGGAGGAGGAAATAAGGGAGGAGGAGGAGGAGGAGGAGGAAATAAGGGAGGAGGAGGAGGAGGAGGAGGAAATAAGGGAGGAGGAGGAGGAGGAGGAGGAAATAAGGGAGGAGGAGGAGGAGGAGGAGGAAATAAGGGAGGAGGAGGAGGAGGAAATAAGGGAGGAGGAGGAGGAGGAAATAAGGGAGGAGGAGGAGGAGGAAATAAGGAGGAGGAGGAGGAGGAAATAAGGAGGAGGAGGAGGAGGAGGAGGAGAGGAGAGGAGGAGGAGGAGGAGGAGAGGAGGAGGAGGGAGGAGGAGGAGGAGGAGGAGGAGGAGGAGGAGGAGGAGAGGAGGAGAGGAGAGAGAGGAGGAGGAGAGGAAGGAGGAGGAGGAGGAGGAGCAGGCAGCAGCAGCAGCAGCAGAAGAAGAAGAAGATGAGGGAGGAGGAGGAGGAGGGGAGATGAAGGAGGAAGAGGAAATGAATGAGGAGGAGTTTACTCTTTAATCTTCAATTCTTTGGCAGCTGGTTGAAAGGTTCCTCCATTATTCACCAAAAAAATAAAGGAAAGAAGATTAAATAAAGCATAACACAAACTGTTAGCTTTATAAAAAAAGAATATCATGTCGAAAAAACAGTCACAAAGAAATGTACACTCTCACATTCACTCACTCACTCACTCACACACACACACTCACTTTCTAACCTGACAAGACAACAAAATAATGCCAAAACTCAAAATACAACTCCCTCTTTCATTCTTCAACTATCCTCTGGTTGATTCACTTCCTGAAGTGCACATGACATTTGGCAATAGCTTCCGACACTGCTCTAAAGTTCACTGGTGCCACGTACAAGCACTGTCCACTGCAGTTATGCTTTGTCAGTTATGTTTACACACTGAAGGTTCTGTAAGTGCTTAGTCACCAAGGAGTCACTTATGGGCCCTTTATCCCATTCCTCAAATTATTCTGCATAAAATCATCATTCTAATACTATCATAAATATCATTATTGTCATTAATGTTATTCTTATTCATATCATTATCATTACCATCATTATCATTATAATGTTGTTAACAATACTAATAGTAATAATAACACAATTTTTTTTTTTTTTGAAAACATGCGGAATGGGATAAACAGGTACGACCAAGTAAGCCTCCTTAGTTACCAAACAATGCTAGAGCTATCAGTTGGTACACATAATCCATAAAGTAAAATCACAGTGGACACAACATGCATACATGCCTTACTGGCATCATCAGGTATGTTTAAATAACAAATTGAATAAAAGGAAAAAGAAAAAATCACAGCCCAAAAATTAAGCTCTTTCAAAATATCATGGGACTGACGTTTACTCATTTCTGGCACAACTTTGTACAGCTATTTACAGGGTGAACCAAAAAAAAACAGAGTCAGTGTCTTGACCAATGGAAGCAAATCTTATATTTAGAATTTAATTTTCATACAAATATATTTCTATATTCATCCCCTTTCACTACTCCTACTTAGCTCTTGACCTAGTTTAGATTAGCAACTAGACTGAAGTTATTACCATAGCTAAAATACCATACATCCAAGACAACCGACTTAATGTTAATGAAAAACACTCAGAGTATATGATACAAGGTTATTTTACATGAATGAGGTTATATAATATATTCCCTTAAAAAATAAACAGAATTATGCTTACAATGTTGGATAGGAGAAGTCAAACTGAAAAATCATAATGTAATTTTCCGATAAGCACTTTATAAACTGGGTTTGCAAAATATAACATGTATTCTTCATTTCAATCTTAATATTCATATCTTGTAGTTCACAGTACCATAAATAAAATGCTATAATAATACTAACAGAAAAAAGTGACTGAAAATACTAAGTAAAAGTCTCACATGACATGCAAATACATAAAAAAGGGGCATTTTCCACAAATATTCCTGGGGCATATTACAAAATAACAGAAGTAAAAATAGAAATAAGCATAATATGGCTTATATCATATGAAGTATTTGCCAAACCATGCTAAATCTACTGTACAAAAGAATCTAAATGTTTCAATTCCATGAATATAAAAGATTTTGGGAGAATACATACAATAATGTAAAGAATTACAAATATCATCAACAATTTAAGGAAATGTGGCTAATATCCTTCTTGTAAGATTTCACACACACACATCACACACATCACACACGTCACACACATCACACACATCACACACACACTCTCTCTCTCTCTCATTCTCTCTCTCTCTCTCATTCTCTCTCTCTCACTCATTCTCTCTCTCTCTCTCATTCTCTCTCTCTCTCTCATTCTCCTCTCTCTCTCTCTCTCTTTCTCTCTCATTATCATTCTCATTCTCACTGATGTAAAGCAAATGTTCCCTTTTCCATTTCTAGCCAACTACTCCTCTCTGGAGCTTCCTCAAAGGGATAATTATGACTGACAGCCCAAAGGTGAGGGTTCAAAAAAGTAAATAATTTTTTAGCCCGACATGCCTTTCTAAAAGAATACAAAATACCTAAAAGACATGACACCCTAAAGGCTTTGAATCATATATCTTTTTCCTTTTTGTTTAAAACATGAAGAAAAAAATATCCAAAAAGAGAGAAAATTAATCTCATTAAGGCACCGAAATATTTAATACCATCTGTGTTATTGATTCTTTGAACTTCAAACGGCTATGAAAAAGTTTCGGAGAACAAATCTAGTAATATCTTCTTCATTCCATTCTGTTACATATGTCATTACTGCCAACACTTAATGATCTTACACAATGAAGAAAGAAAAAGAACAAAAAAACAACAGAAGCTTAAATATAAGTCATGCTATTTTGGTTCTTTTCAATTAGCATCATTTATTTCCCCCCAAAAATGCAAAATAAATATGTTTGCATAAATATCATTACTCTCATTATCCTAGAACAATTGTAAAAAAAAATAAAAATAAAGCAAAAACAATGATGTATATAAAGCAGTGCTAATACTGCCTAGTAATAATCATGAAAAACAGTATCCAAAGCTCTGCACAATTGACAATAAAAACACACACACGCACACACAAAATAAATTTTTGAGACCCAAGCCTCAGACAACCCCTTCTCATGCAACCTTAGAGTGTGATTGAGAAAGAGAAAAAGCAAAGATATCATTCCCTATCTCACCTATATACTATGGCACCCTCTGCTCTTTCTCATCATATGGCACATGGCGACAGTTTAGTAGAAACACACGCCGCAGATATGACACTCTTTGCTTACAAAAGTTCAGATGCTGGTATAAACAAACTACTTTTGAAGACATCCACTACCATCTACAGTCCCTTTATCTTACTTTGAGCATAGATTAAGTAGAAATGAGTCAGGAACTCATGCAAATTTTTAGCAAGTGCTGTCCCCTGTAATATGAAAAAATCCTTAGACAGAGAAAATGTCTCTACCTTTTTCATTCTTCTTAGTGCTAATAAATACAGTGGGTTTATTATAAATGGTTACATTGATACATATACAAAATAGGATTAGTTGCATTTTCAATACTTATATATATTGTGCTTTTCAAAGAGAGAGGTAAAATTATATTCACAAATTTGAACAGGAGGAGAGAAAAGAAAGTTTTCCTTCATTTCTTTTTCTTGTCTATCCTTGGGGGGAAAAATATTTTTCTACTTTATAAACAAAAACATAAAAATGAACACTATGACCTACCTAATTTCAAATACAATTCTTATGAAATCACAGCTTTAGAACATTTAAACCTTAAGTGGCACCAGCCAATGAGCGAAAAATGAAATAATATCAAACAGCATATGAGGATGCTGACTTTACATGTACAAACAGCATACATGTTTTGAACACACTGGCCCATGCATAACAGCAAAAAATCTCAACTGACTAGTACAGGAAATATTCATGTATCATCATCCACACGACTCATTAAAAGTTTACTTACCCCATTTTTTAATCACCAATTCCTTCCTTTCCTTTCCACTGTATAAAATCTAATGCTCAGTATCCATTTAGGATACTGGACACTGATGAAAAGACAAAAATGTTGTGGTTCTTTTAAAATAGAGATAAATAAAAGAAAGATAAAATGGGACATGAGCTTAAACCTAACATTAAAAAAATGTACTACTAATAAGACAGCATATATGGCTCTCTCATAATTTACTTCTGCAATGTGACATCCAACATCATCTTCTGAATAGTTGGCAACAATACCTTGTCTCAAGAATATAATATAGCTACATAATAATCTTATATAAATCCGCTTTTCCTATTTGCACACATAACAAATGCTGCTGTGCCCCTGTAGCACTACATGGGATATTTAGTAACATTTTCTGTCATCCAGAAACTAATTACATATGACAAATCAGAAGTGAGAGACTAGCCAGAGATTCCAATGATCCAACTATAATACTTACTTTTCATTAAAATAATAATAATATTAATAATAATAAGTACTGGTACTCCTCATATAATGAAAATTCAAAAAAAGGGAATGGCAAGAGAATACTGAGAATCACTGACCCCTGCCAAAACAGATGCCATCATCAACATTACATCAATCATGAATTCATGATACAGAAACTACAAAAGTACAGAAACATGGTTATATACAGTGACAAACATTCCATCTTTCTATGTGGTATTTCTACCTTTATAAAATGCCCTTTTCATTACAACTCCTTTTTGGTCATTCTCCAACATTTTCTATTTGAATCTATGTCATTGGCACAGGTTTTGAGGAAAATGTTTCACTGAGATTATGTAATATTTGGTTACTGGGATACTATCACCAAGAAGTGATTCGTCTAAATACTGAGATTCACTTTGGGCAAAAAACACATTCTTCAGAGATTTACATACGAAAAAGAAAGATCATGTGGTGCATGTATGTACTTATTTATCTCTGATCTCCCTCTGACTTCTTGAACTAATAGTACGAAACTGAACATATACAAGAATTCCCTTATATGATCATTGCATGCACAATATTACATTTCCTTTCCATTTCTGGTTAACCATAGAAGTCTTCCCGGAGAATGTATCAGTTGAAGAGTGGAAGATTGTAGAAGTCATAGCCACGCCTACCCGAAACTGCAAAAATTACGTAGACGATGTGGTATGCCCCGGGAATGAAGCATATAAGGCCGGTAATGATGAATACAATACCTGAGACTCCTTCAATGGGTATGACTTGCACAACAATGCCGGTCACAAGGAGGGCTGGAAGTAAACAGGGTAATTAAGATTTAGAAAAAGGAGAATTAGTCTGACAAATCAACAAAGATTTTGTGTTCCTCACCCACTGTGTTTGTTTTATTGTTTTCTATATATATTATCATATTTACATTTTGTACAGCTTCCCTTAGATAAGCAAAATTAAAACATCACTAATGTAAAAACTCATGATGGTTCTATCCTGAGCTATTTTGCAGAATGATTCACCGCATTTCTTTACCTTCAGAGAAAAAAATGTTCAAGCCGAAAGTGAACACAGTGATGAAGTTTTATGTTTATTTAGCAATTAGGTTTATACTTTATGGTACTTCTACTTTACAAAAAGGTTATTTAATCTTCTGATGAGAAAAATATGAATATAAATTCCACAAAAAAAATATCAAAATGTGTCCAAGCTTTATCAAGTAACAATGAATTAACAGTATATATATCTAAAAAAATAAATAAATAAAAACAATGCTACATATATCATCATAACTCACTCAATCCCAAGATGAGGAGCGTGAAGGCCCCAGCCACAAGAGTCCACTTTTCCCGAACCTTAGGGTGGAGGAACCACCATCTTGGAGATTCTGAGAAGCTGCTGGCATCGCCCGGTATGAGAGAATCACTGTCACGTGAAATAGCCTGAAAAATTTCATCTTTGTAAACTAAAAATATATCTTATTATGCATTATAATCAAGCTAAAAAAATGAATTATCAATCTGAAAACTACTGATTCCCTGAATACAGGTCTTCTGCATTACCAAAACAAAATACAAACTTCCTAGTCTATTCACAAAACTTGAAACATCATGTGATACATTTTTCAAATCAAACATCCCCTTAGAAAAAATATGTTCGGTGTATAGCTAATTAACCAGACACAGAGACTGATTCCTCTAATTAAATAAACATAACGTGTCTAGTGCAATAATTCATACTGATGGTTGGGAGTATACCTCATATTGATAGAGTTTGACTATACACACTACATAATAAGCCTTACATGAAAATTTTGTAGACTCTACGGACACACAACAGCTCATATACAGTGAACATAACAGTGAACAATCATTTGTTATTGCACTCTGATACAGACTTCCTGAAAACTCGATCAGACCCTTACAGCCATAAGCCAGGCTATTCACATCAGAATCTCGAAGAGTCTATTCCTAGCTCTGTTTTAACCCTTAATGCCTCTGCAAGAATTTGGGATGCACTTGGCCTCCACTCAAGGATGTGTGCTTGGCCGACTGAGCTTATCTCTGGGGGCCTATTTCAGACTCTGCTGGTGCGTCATATTCGCCTCAATGCACCAACAAAGCAATATGATATCCTTTCGTATCACTTGTATCCAAAACATGATTTTAAGTTTTATGCATATTCAAAGATGAATGATATTCATTTTGGTTGCCTTGATTGATGAAAAGTCCATTTCAGTAAATTAAGTGTTTCACTCAGTGTTAAACATTGTGAAAATGAGAGAAAATCCTGTTTTTGTCCCTCAAACTTAATTCTTACAAAATTAGAGATTATATGCATTTACATACAAGGCTGCTACTTCCATGGCTCCAAAACTTAACTTTTGTGTATTATACTTCAAGACAGTCACACTGGCAGAGGGCCATATGACAATATGAGTAGTTGACAGCAAAGAGTCATGAACTATGCTACCAAGGTATGTAAAGCTCTCTGTGACAGCAATGTCTTCACTGCAAGTACGTATCGACAAAACAGGTTCTCCTGACGTGCCCCCAAAGCCCTGGACTTTGCTCTTGATCCAGGAGACCTCTAGACCCAGGGCTTTGCTCTCTGAAGTATTTTCATGTGCATAAAAAGCATTCAATGTTCACTCTGTCTCTGTAAGCCATTATTCCTCGTCTCTCTATTGGCACCTCTTCCCTTTTCAAAAAGTTTAGTGTAAGCCATGGAAATGTTGTTGTTTTGTATGGGGGGTGGGGGCTGAAGCACATATTTTGGCAAAACATTGATCTTCATGGCACACACTGTACACAGGGTTTATGATTGCCTCCACACTTAACACTCCAGGGAGGACAAATAAACACCCACCATGATTATTCTACCAGGAAAGAGCTTTAATTGGTTCTTTATCTGATGGCACATCTCCACTGTTAGCTTATGTGCCACATCATAACAAATTCAGTGTTCTATAGCAGTGTTGTACCTCTTCCTAGTGAGATCATGAAACAATTATAATGCCTGAACCATTTGGTGTGAGAAGCGAAATGAAGTAAAGTTGAAGAGAATCCATGTATACTTATGATTAGCCCATTAGTGTAATCTGTAAGCAAACAAATGTTCATCAGTTAAACCGAAAATACAACTGTATAATGTTTGCCATATTTGGATAATTCTCAAAAATTATCAGACTGGTATTATTGCTGCATATCCAAAACTAATATATTTTAAATCTATGAAAAAATGTTAGGGATAAAAAGTCTCTTGGGATTTACTGATCCAATATGTTTTTAAATTACTTATATACTAAGTAAGTTCTTGCATTCCATAACTAAAATAATAACTGGTTTTTAGACAAATTGAAAGTACTGCATAATCTAACCTTGCTATTTCCATATGATATCTTATACCCTCCCCACCAATGAGGTCCATTATCATCACTACTGCTGCCATGCACTGATAAAACCCTTATAAATACATGCTAGACATTGCACAAACTTGGCCTCACTTTCTTCAATAAATCTAGTTTGTGCTCTGTGGGTTTTTCTACCATAGCATCAACACGGAAGAGTGTTTTTTCCATTCATGCTAGACATTATGGAATCCATCAATAACAAATTCATTGTCTTATGAGATATCAAACCATTCTCCAGAATTATCACTGGAACAAGAAACAAACTACACCTATTTAAAGTCAAAGAGCATTGTCAATAGTAGTAATCACAACAAGATCAAATTTTCTACACTAATTAGTGCAAACATGTCTGTGACCTACGGACTTTGTCTGCAACCTGATGAAAGCTCTCCAAATTTATATTAGTGTTTAATCAAGATTCACTAATAGGTATTTGTTTCAGATTTATCCATGAAAATGACAGAGAAAGGAATGAAAAACAGACTTAACAAAAAGACAGAAACCAAGGAATAAAGAAAAAATATAAAGGAAGAGAGGATGAAGAACAGAGACAGTGGGGGGAAAATGAGGATGGAAAAGAATCACAGGGAGAAAACATCCACACAGATACTTACATCTACATCAGGAACCGTGAGAAAGCCTTTGCTTCCAAGAACACTGTCATCCATATTCATGGAAACATCATCCACGCCCATTATTCCGTCACGATCTTTAGGTCTGAAGGGCGAGCGCTCATTCGTGGCACCGTAGAGTCGGATGGCATCGTCAGCATCCTCCTCAAAGGCGTCTTCTATGGTAAATTTGGGATTTTTTCTGCTTTGTTTACCTGCCATTGCAACTCCTTTATGTCACTTGTTCGTTTGCGCCGACTGTGACTTCGGCTCCCTCTCCTTGAAGACTGCGGTTTGTTCAGCGACTTTTGATTATCTAAATTCTGTTATCTTATTTTTATGATATTTTTGGTTCAACCTTGACTATCTTTTTAATCTATAATATCAAAAATATTACCATTGAGGAGCGATAAAATATTTCGTTTCGGACTACAGAAGGAGCATTCATACAATCTTTAGTGTATGACTCACTACAAGATATACCTCTCATACAGTAAAAGTATTTCAAACTGATGTCATATCCTAGACCTAGTAAAATCTCAATAAAAACCACTTAGATGATTAAACAATCTAAGCAAATAACTCCCGGACCTTAGACACACCATCCCTCCAATTGTCAGCTGTCAGTGTTGTTGCCGATAGGAGAAAGTAGGAGTCATTCAACTCTCTCGACAAGTACTTCCGATAAAAGCGGCAGTTATTACTCCCAAGCCTTGACAACATGCAGAACGTGATCAATACTGTTAAAGGGAAAGCCTTAGGGGTCGCCGAGTATCTTACGCCGATTCTTAAGGTGAGAGAGGAGAGAGCGGTTGAGACTGCCTGACTCTGACTCACGTATGACGATCAAATAGATATATAAACGCTTCACTTTTCGTGTTACTTATCCATTTTTGTTAAAGTTTTCGTTCTGAATGCATGCTCATGTTGAGAAATGTGTACCTCTTAATTTATCGGACGTGATGATGCGTGGAAAAAAACACATGTGCTCTCATTGGAGTACTGGGATAAATGTGAGGTTTTTTGTTATTTAAATGATGAGAGAAGATTCGAATTAGCTACAATTTTGTTTTTTGTTAAATCTGTGTAAGTAATAAGTAAAAGAAATTCAGTATTATCTCTTATATTGGAATGAGGATATGTGCAAAAATGATAGTATCAGGTGGATCCCTGTATTATCCTACAGTGTTAATAATACTTACATTAAGTGTCATATGCAGAAGGTGTTATTATTTTTCCAAATGTATGTTTTATTGACACAACTTCATTTACTGATATAGTATATGTTTCCCTAGTAGAAAACTAAATAAATAGTGCAGTGACTTTCAAAACAGGACTTTTTCATATATATCTTGGCTATGTTCTGTACTAAGCCACATAAACATTGCGATCTTTGAAAGGATCACTCTTTTAGTCCATTACACTTGGGCTGCTTAATCCCGATATTAGGGAAAGTTCAGGCTTGTTATACGTAAATTATGGTCTGTGAGATTGCAGTGCCATTGTTTACAGTGCTTCCCATTGCCTTGTGACTTTCTTTACAAAGAAATATGATGAAATGAGTTATCAACCATTTTTAGGAAGACTGTATGGTGTATGATATAAAAAAAACTGTCTTGGGCACCTAGAATGTAGTAAAAGCCATCCAAAGAATCAAGGTAACGTTAACATCCATACTTAGGCCTAAAACTTGATACCCACATGCAGTGAAGGAAGTCCAACCAGATAGTAGCTATTGTCAAGTGACTTCCACAGCCTTTGTTCTTATTACTGCTCCAGGATAGGCTTGCATACCTCTGCCACATATGTTCTGGCAAGATTGAATTTTTTTTTTTTTTTTTCTTTTTTTCACAGTAAATTTTCAGAGAGGTATTTTAGCTTTTTCTAACCAGAATATAGAGGAGAGTTGTAGGCCATTACTGAAGTGCTGCTGTGTGATGCAGCGGTTAGTGGGTTAGCATGTTTATAGCAGTCTTGCATTCAGTCCCATGCACTACTATTGGATGGTAATCTGGGCCATTCCTTGCACACAGAGGAAGGTTTAGAAACAAATAAAATAGATAGCATGTCATACCAAAAGAATGCCAATTGTAGAAATTAGAATTTGAACTGAATCCTTAGATCTTTAAAATACTGTTAGGATGGCAGCCGAATGCAGACGAGTAATTATTTCCAATATAACCGCACCTGCTGGAAACTAAGTCCCCAACTCTTGTCAACAATATTGGGGATCGCATGGGGAATCGGGGGTTTAGGTGGTATGGTCGATTTCGCTATTAGCAGTGATTTCAAAAGGTAAAGAAAGTGTAAAAATGAACCCTGAGCAAAGAATTGCATTTCACGCTGTAAAGAAAGTGAAAAAATGAAAGAAAAAACAATTTAAGATTTGGCTACTAAGATTTGATACATGGTGCAGAAAAGAACGAGAAAGCACATCTGGCCTAAATGCACAATCTATCATAAAGATAGCGTATGAACCAAAGAACTTCCTAACACGGGGGCTCGGCCCCCAGACCCCCTCCGGTTTGGCATATTTCCCTATTGGGGCTCTGCCCGTGGACCCCCTCTCAATCGCCATATTTCCCTGCGAACAAATGAGCGAGCGAATCAGCCTAAACGCACAATCTATCATAAAATAGCCATACGAACAAAGAACTTCCTAGGGGCTCTGGCCTTGGACCCCCATCCGATTGCTGCATTTCTCTATCGGGGATCTGCCTCAGACCCCTCTTTCCCTAACCTATTGCAACCTAATCATGAGTATAAACACTTACCTTGGTAGTAATGTAGATGACGTATATGTACAGTCCGAGGGAATTTGCTTTGAAATGCCTCGGCACGGCACTTGTCATGACATTTTATTTTTTCATTTATGACTTTATTCTTTGCCTGTGTTGATCATATCATATATCAGTGAGTGTATCTTTTACATTAGATTTTCCATGGGTTATTATATTGGTAATAACCCAGACAAGTAGTAGGCTTGTAACTTTATTGGCAATGTCATCTCCAAATTGAAGTAGTAACCATGAGACTAATAAGAGCTTTTAAGTCTATTTTTGTGGTAAAAAACCTGAGCTAATATTTGTTTTCAGATGGTAAAGAAAGTTATGTATTTTTAATCATAAAAGAAGTGAGAAAATGAAGAGTCACTTTTTCTTTTAACCTGTCCACAATTCGTACCTCCTAGTGAAAAACACCCTAATTTTGGGGTGGATGCTTTTGCAGCAACTGCCCTTTGCTAGGGACCCACACGTGAGGCACAAGCAACAAGCGACCAGTCGGAATGTATGCCGAAAATACAAATGTCTTGCCTATTAGATGCTAGTTCCAGCCCATTATCTGACTGTGTCATTTATAAGATGCCTGGCATTGTTAGGTTGATTTTGAACACTTTCCATGATTACATTTGAGTTCCAGTGGATATTCTTTGCTTATGGGCTATTTTTGTAATGAAAATCCAAACCCTTAAATGTACCCTGACCTTAACCAATTCTCAGATGTTGATTCCCAACCAGTGGAATCTTTATTATTTTCACCAAATGTCAAACACTAAACCAAACCTAACCTTAGCCTACCCGAAAGTAAATCTAACTTAGTATTATGTCTCAGCCGTGGGAATTCCTATTCCCTGGCACTTCAAAATGCATACATTGGTATTTTATGTGTATTTAGCTATTTGCTACTGTACATCTAAGGCAGATTGTTCCATATTATACTGGAATCCTTCGTGTCACTTCATTATTTCACCAACTATCCAAAATGTTTAGTTAGAGATAGTAACTCCCTACATAACTGCTCGCCAACATCAGCCACTTTGTGCTGATGACTTTCATGTCAAAACAAACAAACTAAGGATTTGAATTTTTGTGTGCCAGAACAACATGAAATGAGGAACTTAGTCACAAGCGGAGGGTAAAGTATTTATCCAAGCATTTGATAACCGGTTATGGCATAGCCCTTACTCATCTTATAAAAGTGTTATTTTATATGATCTTTAAGAAGCATAACATAGGAACAGTTTGAGTTAGGCCTAGGAGATATTTGTCAAGTAAAGTATTCATGCACCCTGATATAGTTAAAAGAAGAAGAATGTAAATGAGATTTTCCAAATTTATTACTTGACCAACTTACTAAAGTTAATGGGAAAATTTTCAAGAATGTTGTGTCTATAAAGATAATTTAATTTTAGATTTTCTTCAATTGCAGAAAGAATTAGATTGCAACACATAACCCGAGTCTTGCTGTATTGTCTTCATATTCAAGCAAAAACTAAAAAAAAAAAAAATAGAATGACTTTAATAATAATAATGATGAAATAATAAATTAATAAGTAAACAGATGAATAAATGAATAAATAATGATAAATAAAAAAAGATAACTTCCTATTTTTTCTGCTGTATTAATTTGTTCAAGATCACTGCAGCATCCTCTTAATCCATACAGGAGTCCAAGTTCAAAAGAGACGGAGTCCTTACTCCAGAGGAATTTGTAGCCGCAGGGGATCACTTGGTTCATCACTGCCCCACATGGCGATGGGCTCCAGGGGACGCTGCCAAGACCAAACCATATCTTCCTCCAGAGAAGCAGTTCCTCATCACCAAGAATGTCCCTTGTTACAGGAGGTGCAAACAAGTAAGGTCTAAAACCAATCTTTAAGGTTATAGATAATGTTGTGTTTTGCAAGTTGTACTTGACATTGTATTCAATAAGGTTAAAAATGTCAACCTTGTACCATATTTTTTAGGGCTGTAAATAGAGACCTTGTACTGTATTCTTTAATGATGTGAAAAAGGTTTATTCTTTATAGTTATAAATAAGGTATTTGAGGGAATTGTTGATTCATTTAAACCTAACATCTTGTAATGATATGACAGAGTTCAAAGGTGTCCGGTTATCTCTAGTTTTTGTAGATATATCCTATTCTAGGAAATGACAAAGCACTACCATGTTAAAACAATTGTAGAAAAGCCTACTATACACAGCAGTTTTGAAAAAACTGTTGTTTCATCATCCTTTAAACCTGTTTTGTGTAGTCTGTGGTGGGTTCTCATATCTTTCTGTTCTGTGTTGAAAACACCAAGTATAGATAGATATATTTCTATTAGCAATGATTAAAAACTTGCAGACTTTTCTCTTCTCAATTTTAAATCTGTGTAAAGATTTTTCTCTTGTGGAAGTTTGGTACCTTAGTAGCAATGGTTCAACTTGTGTTTTAACCTCAGTCTTGAAACCTACTCCCAGGAAATTATCAGAATGTTATAACCATGTCATAATGAACAGGGTATGGAGTGTTTCTAAAGAGATCACCATTATTACTGACTTTTGTTCCCATATATGATATTGTGTACTGGACTGTAATTTCACACAATTATTTTATGAATATGTTGTCAAGAAAACTGTTCAAGAATTTTATCCACATTCATAGCAGTATGATATAATGATAACATTGTAATACAGTAATCATAGGAAATGTACATATCTTTATCAAGTAGTGGGCATTATATTGATATAGTAAGACCCTGTGCATTTGCATGTGTATGTGAAATATCAAGCCACTCCAGCTATGACAGTTAGAAGTTTTAGGTTAGAAATTTACAGCGGACTCCCTAGAGGCTGTGTGCTCTTGATAGGGAAAATAATTACACATTTCCAGTTCATGGTCTTGAAGCAATTGTACTCCAGAGTTTTACACTTTTTCATCTCTCATTTAACCCGATGGATCTGGCTGCTTCAGAGCAGTAACACGGACCAAAATGCGGGCTTTAGGGTACAGGAATGGGTGCTTGGCTTGTAGATTCTGTGCCACCCTTTGCAATTTTATTTTCTCTCTCTTTTTTTTTTATATAAGCATTTTCGTTTTTTTTTTTTGCCATTTGATTTTTCATTTGATTTGTTTTATCCAGATGGTAAGAGACTGTTTTCCTTGCACAGACTCCATATCATTCCTCTAGGTAGTTCAGTAGTCCATAACTCCGTGCAAGGAAAAGAAAAATGTGCAACATTTTGTTATTTGTGTAATTCACTACAAACACATGTATATGGAGAAAAACTTGTCACTTATATTTTCTGTTAATTTTGTTATTAATTTTGTTATTATACAGCATAAATTGAAATGTTGTATAGTATATATGTATATGTATATATAAATATATATGTAAATGTAAATGTGTATATATATATATATATTATATATATATATATATATATATATATATATATATTATATATATATATATATATATACATACATAACATAGACATAGACTATATACATAGCATACATACATATATATGTGTGTGTGTGTGTGTGTGTGTGTGTGTGTGTGTGTGTGTGTGTGTGTGTGTGTGTGTGTGTGTGTGTGTGTGTGTGTGTGTGTGTGTGTGTGTGTGTGTGTGTGTGTGTGTGTGTGTGTGTGTGTGTGGTGTTGTGTGTGTGTGTGTGTGTGTGTGTGTGTGTGTGTGTGTGTGGTGTGTGTGTGTGTGTGTGTGTGTGTGTGTGTGTGTGTGTGTGTGTGGTGTGTAAATATAAAAGTATGAAATTACATTAACACTAGATTGTGAAAAAACATGCAGGATATACAATCACTCCTTTTCAAAGTAATTTGCAAGTCATCACGTAGTTCTACTGCATATATTACATGACAGTCATGATATCTCTTATGTAAAATGGTTTTTCTTAAAACCCTACCAGACTGAACGGAAATCACATCATATGTTTGTCATACCTTTGTGCATGTATGTGTCTACATATGCATGTCTAAGGTCATAACAAAGAGAGCAAATGGGGAGGGAACGAAGACTAATCACTATTTCGTCATCTGTCCAGATGGAGTATCGCAGTGAGCAGGAGCTGGTCCTGGAATCAGAGGGTGATCCTGATGGTGGATGGGTGGACACACACCATTTCAGTGACTCAGCCATCTTGGAAGAGAAAGTGGCTGACATGGCACTCGAAGATAAGGTAAGTGGAGAAGGATGGGTAAGGTTTTTGTGTGTGTGTGTATCTTTCTATCTTTGTATCTCAGGCTATGGTGTGTGTGTGTTTCTTAGATTGTTTGTTTTTATAAATTCAGACTCATATATTTCTTCCCCATTTTGAATGTAGAGAAATTAAAGGAAAGAAAGAATTCGTTGTCCTCCTTCTCCAGCTGTTTCTGTCACTCCTTCTCACTCTTTCCTATATTTTTTAATTTTTATACGTTAAGAAATGGAAACACTGTCACATTGATATTGTTGTGGTTTAAAAAAGATAATGACAGTGAAATGATAAAGGAACCCTCGTCCCCATTACAGAAGGCATCTTGCGCAGATGATGATGATGAAGATGAAGACGATGATGATGAAGAAGCTGCAGATATGGAAGTTTTGAGGAGTCAGGCATTTTGGAGCAAGAGGATCCTGTATGTTTTTAAATTACGCTAAAGCTTTGTTGATCAGACAGTTTTCAATGACAAACATTTTGCATTGAAAATAACGTGATGGTTCATAGTGGAAAGCTGCTATGAGCAAAGTGTATTTAAATCTATTTTGTGCCTCTCTGTCTTCTTTTCTCTTTCTCATATTATTTCTTCTCCCTCTCTGTTCTTCCTCTCTCTCATTTTCTTTTGCTCTCTTTTTTTCCATCTTCTTTTTTATATCTCTTTTTCTCTGTCTATCTTTTCTTTTTATCTGTCTCTGTGTCTCTGTCTCCATCTCTCTGTGCTCCATAGTCTCTCTCTCTCTCTCTCTCTCTCTCTCTCTCTCTTCTCTCTCCTCTCTCTCTCTCTCTCTCTCTCTCTCTCTCTCTCTCTCTCTCTCTCTCTCTCTCTCTCATCTCTCTCTCTCTACTCTCTTCTCTCTCTCATCTCTTTCTCTCATCTCTCTCCCTTCCTCCCCCTTCTTCCTTCCCCATTCTCTTCTTTTCTCCTTCCCATACCACTTGTCATTACTCCTCCCCCCTTCAATCTCTCTTTTGTGCTCTCACCAGAGTTCAATCCAGACACCCAGAACCGTTCCTGCAGTGTCTAGCCCGGGGAACAGCACCAGCGACGGGTGAGGTGCTCCAAACCGCACATATGACTTGCACATCACCTATGACAAGTACTACCAGACACCTCGCCTGTGGTTGACAGTTATGACGAGGCAAGTCTAAGAGAACTGAATAAGCCTTTGTTGGCATTGTTTGCATGTAGAAATTAACCCAGTGCCAACGGGAAAATGTTGCGTTCACTTAGTATTGTTTTGTTAAATGTTTCTATACATAGTGGCTCTGTCAATGCTTAGCCACAAAGGAGTCAATTAGTAGATCATATGACCTCACCTTTCCTTGAAATAGCGGGAAAAACGCTTTTTTTTACTAATGCTATCAATATCAACACTTATATTTTTTTCATAAATATTATAATTACTATATTGTTATTGACATAATGAACAGCAGTATTAAATACTAGAATATATAAAAAAATAAGGAAAATGGGAAACAGGTGAGACAGGTAGTTCTTGTAATTGGCTCATTAGTGACAGTACTTGTGGAGTCATCTGTTAAACACACAGTGGCATGGCATGTACACACATGCCATCCCCAGTGGCAAATGGTTAGCATAGTTTCTTTCATCCATCTCTTCACTTTGTACTTTATTATATTTTGCTTAAAGCTCAGACATACTGTACCAATTAGTAAGATCATTTTGTTTAAAGAAGTTGTTTGATAACCTCATCAGTATGTAATTATTAATTTGTCTTGACTTTGGATCAAGCATGTTCCACAGATAATTTTTTGTTGTTGTTATATACATGTTTTATGTGCATGTACTAGTTGTTCATAATTGATAGTCTATTAGATGTTTTTAAAGCCTACTATTCTTCTTGGTAGAATCGACAACCTTTAACAGTTGAAGAAAATGTATGAGGACTTTAGCCAGGATCATGCCAACAAGACAGTCACCATGGAAACGCATCCTCATCTCCCAGGTCCTCCCATGGCATCTGTGCATCCCTGCAGGTCAGCATTTTCTTTCTTTCTTTTTCTTTTTCAAAGCCTTTTCTTTGTAGATTAACTACCATTTTATAGTATCCATAAATTGTAAATTGTGGAGGTAGATATATATGTGTCAGTGGCATATTTTGATTCAAAGGACTGTTAGGAAACGAAAAATAAAACTCTCTTCTTTGTTTTTTCTTATGTGGTTTGACTCTTTTTTTAGTGTTTTCGTTCCTTCTAAGTCTCTTTTTCCATTTCCATTCTCTTTCCTTTATTCTTCCTTTTTAATTTTTTATAACTTCATCCTTATACTGGCTTTCTCTGTCTCTCACCCACTAGACATGCTGAGACCATGAAGAAGATATGTGAAACGGTGCTTGAAGGCGGAGGCGAGTTGGGGGTCCACCTGTACCTCATAGTGTTCCTGAAGTTTGTACAGGCCATCATTCCCACCATTGAATACGACTACACGCACAATTTCACCCTGGCTCCTTAGGATAATTGAATGCGAGAAAAGTGCTGGTGTTTCTACAAGCGGTCATCTTCTGCTGACCTGAGAAAGTTGAATTAGCAAGCAAATTATGTAATCACTGTTGTTATTATTATTATCATTATTATTATTACCACTGCTGCTGTAACTAGGGCTATTGCTCCTATTTTACTGTTATTGTTTTGATAATTGTTGATGTGTTAATTATTCTATTTTGTTAGCATAATTGTTTTTGTATTTAATTATTATTATTGTTATTATTATCATTATTATTATTATTATTGTTGTTATTATTCTTATTCATTATCATTATTATTATCAACATCTTCATCATCGTTATTATTGTTTATATCATTATAGTTACTATGACCTCTTATTATATTATTCCTTCCCATTTTCACAAGCTCTGGACCTCTTCTTAAGGATCTGAACTTTGCCATTGAGCTAGTCGTTGTACTGCTGCCAAAAAACAGCTTCTCCTCAGTGGAAGTCTTCAGAAGAAAATGGTTAAAGTGATATGCCTTGAGTGTGAAGTGCTTTGGTTCAAGATTAACAGCTTTTCATTGTCTTTCATAATAGATAATTTACCATATGTTGCAGGACAACTTTGAAGTAGCAACAGCACTTAAACTGTTGTTAAATAACACACGCAGGAGAGAAGGGAATTATAATTAAAAAAGATCTGAACTTACACATAGTTTTATGTCCTGTTGCAAAATTTGTTTGAAGTTAAAAGATAATTTAATTTTTAGATTAGAGAAAAGGCTCAGACTATTCTCTTCTTTGTTTTTATTTAATGATACATCCATTTATAGTAGCATTCTAGATGACATAGCTGTAAAGTAGAAATATTGAAAGTTTTATAAACCCCAGAACTATATAATTTCTATACAACCAGAATTTTTGCAAAAGCTGATTATCTGGCTACTATGAAATTACAGGGTTTTGAAAAGAAGCCTGTTATATTATGCAAAAATGTGGCACTAATTTGTGTAATGTGCCAGAAAATGTGAGTCAAAATGATGTGTAAGATTCATCTGTAATGCCTTTGATTATGAATAGCCTGCGGTATTCTGACCAAGTTGATAGATGCAGTGTCATTTTAAACACAGGATACAGCTTCCTATGAATGATGCCAGCTGTACAGCACAAGGTGACACATGAGTAATTTTGATTACAACCATGTTTATTTTACAAAGCAAGTTACAATATTTAGTGATCTGGAACTAGCAAAAGCAGAAGACAAATGCTTTTATTTAAAGGTAGAAAAATAAACTAATGGTCAGGTGTTCCAAAGAAAGAACGATGTTACATTGTCTGGCATTTCCATGTTTGCGCTACTTTGGAGTACGTGTGTCTGTCCCATTCAAAATGTTTAGAGTTTTGTAAAATATCACGTGTTAGAATGTTTCTTCTTTGAAACAATTTTTATCAGTTATATTTTTATTTATTTTTCTAATCTGTTAAATTCTTTTTTTTTTTTTTTTTTTTCATTCTTTCTTCCGTTCGTTCGTTCTTTCTTTCTTTCTTTCTTTCTTTCTTTCTTTTTCATCAGAATGAGCTTGCAGTCCCGATGTTGGTGCTTGCATGGATGCCAAATGGTCACCAAGACCTTCTTACCTCACCTCAATGCCTGCATGCAATTTAGGCTTCCAGTCACTCCATGTGCAT